GAAAAATACATTTACAGTGTGAGCAACACCTGCCCCTGTTGGCAAACACTTTAGCTGCTGTACTTTTTATTCAAAAGAAATAGTTTTTTTGCCTCCTGCTTTGTTGTTGTTGTTGTTGTTTTGTTTTTTTTAATGACGCCGTTCTTCCATTGATTCAAATTCTATTCATCATACTGAGATGCATATTTAGCAAACGTCGTGTGAATAATATGCCCAGAGGCATAGGCATTCCTTCGCAATAAATCTAGGTGTAACCCAAAAGGTGTATTTATTGAACAGATATGCAAGGGGGAAAAAAAGAGATCCCACCCAGAGTACAGTATACAGTGAAGTTTTTATTTAAACATAGAGCAAGTAATATGCATGCCAAAATGAATTATTGTTTGTTTCAGGCAATTAAAAACAACCACAGCAGAGCATAGTCGGAAAGGAGAAGCAAATCTGGGTTAGGTCTGGGACTGGTAATCATATGTCGGTATTAGGTGATATGTAGCTTTAATTAACACATTCATTTGGAAGGTTTTCAGTATGTTAGTCCACTTTAGAGGCCGAGTTCTTGGCAATAAATACACAGCCATGTTTGTGTGCTATGACATGCTAAGGAACTGCTTAACCTTAATGATGGGATTTCCCTCGCCCTGCTGGTGTATGTTAAGCCACTAGGGGCCTGTAGAATCTGCACTTGTGCAGTAAATACATTTTCTAGACAGATGCTAAGCCATTTAGCATGCACTAAGGTTTTTGCACATAGACAAAACATAAGCTTTATGCCTTAAGCTTAAAATAGTCAACTTCCTTTTGGTCAGCCTTACACTGCTTCTTCTTTTCTAGGCTCTTGCATGTATCCTAATTCACTTGTGCGCAGCAAAAAGCCTTCTGCTTTTGCTTTACCCTGCATCCACGCTAGCTAACTTTCTGCACATTTCAGCGGGTTAAAGGACGTTAACTTCATGGATTCCAAACGGTAATGCATACTCAACAATAGCCAGAAACCCAGACTGATTATATATTGAAATGAGCTGTCTAAAGACTGAGACAGTTTTGCAAGGATAAACAGTTCAGTTCCTCAGCAGGAGTGTGGTCAGCATTCGAAAGACACAAATTGAAGATACACCGCTCTGTTTTGACTGTCAGTTTCACAAATTCAGAATTGACCAAGCATAGCCAGTTTGATAGACATTAGGCAATGAGGTCAAGTATGCTTGCATAGTTCCTTTTGTTGATTTTCCTTCTTTTTTAAACTGCAAGGGCAGCCTATTTGTAAAAGTGCATGGATGTATACATTTGTATATTGAATTCCCCTCAGTAGGTAGTTGAATAGGAAGACATTCATAGGGCACACATAAAAAAATCTTGCAGTCACACACAGTTAAATTCATGGAAATCCCTTGAAGCAAGGGTGTAGTTAGATGCTGAAGGCTATCAACGTTAAGGAATGTATATATGGAAAAAATTAAATGCTGTTTTGGTAGGCCAACCACCCTTTGCCAATGCAAGCCCTGCTTTAGATC